CAATAAAACATTGGTAGACATTCTAGAAAAAATAAATGAATAAAAAATAAAATACGAAAATTTTTATTTGACAACAATTATGGCTAATTTGCCCGGGGTCAAATTGTCTTGGTCAGTATCTACGGATAAAGCAACCTCCACTTTGTGTTTGGACGATTTTACCTCCAGTTTCATCCCCCCAAAAATAAACTTGGTAAGTTTTTTTTAGTGATGAGTGTTGATTCAATGAGTATTCCTCCTCCAGGAGTCCATTCTTTGGTAACAAGTCGTCCGCCAATCCGGTTTATCGAGTGATTATTGGAATTACGGTTTTTTGGTACTTAACAACTACATAAACTGGAGAGGAGCACCACTTGTTGCTAAAGAAGTGGGACACCCAAAACGTTTTTGTTTTTTTGAGTCAGAACTTATCAATGCCGCTGATATTTTCAACCAGAGCAACGGTTTTTACAACTTAGGTAAACCTCTTGCCAGAAAATTACTAGGATGCTCGGTGTCAGTGTGATACCTGCCCTTTACCTCACTGCTATTCACTTTCTATATTGCTACTCTTCTCTTACCAGGTTAATCTGTTTTTGCCTTGATAATGACCATTGTGCGAGCGATACGTTGTCCAAAAAATTCAGTGTAACCGAATATGCGTCTCCTTTCCATCAAGTGTCAGGGGCCCAAGACTGTTCAGCTGCCTCCCAACATACATAAGGGAGATTACCAATAATCCCTGGCTGTCTTCAAGAGAGCGCTACTACTACCACTAGTATTACACCTCACTCTAAGCCTATATATATACCCTCTCTTTCCATGTAGATTATAGAGGTATGGGTGTTTGTGGGAAACAATCAGGCTGCAGCATTAGGGTTAAAAACAGCAGTTATTACCGGGATACCTCAGGGATGTGTTTAAAAGACAATATTCAAAATAAAGTTGCTAGTAATGGCAAATCAATTGATCAACAAACAAAGAGAGATAGTAGAGGGCAACGAGTGACTAGCTCCCTTAAGGTTTACTATACAAATAGTAGGAGTCTAAGAAATAAGATAGATGAGCTAAGATTACTTGCAAGTGTAGGTAATATAGATATTATTGGTGTAACAGAGACCTGGTTCAACCTGAAAGATAGAGAAATGCTTTCTGAATGCAACATACAGGGTTATAAACTTCCACACTGATAGGCTCAACAGGAAGGGTGGTGGAGTGGCGATGTCAGAGAAAATTTAAATTGTTGTCTTAGACATGATATAAGATTTGAAACATCGAACACAGAATCTGTTTGGCTACAGTTTCTCGAGGGACGTGACAAATTAATTTTGGGTGTGATTTACAGGCCCCCAAACCTTGAGAGGGAGTGCAGTAAGCTGTTATGCGACGAAATTCTTAAATTTAATTTTAAAGCATCTAGATATGAAAGTGTTGTGATAATGGGAGATTGATTGGAACAATATGACAGAAAATCTTGAGTCTAGTGACTTTCTTGATACGGTTCAGGATTACTTTTTAGAACAGGTTGTGACAGAACCAACTAGAGGAAACAATCTGCTTGACTTGGTTCTTGCCAACAAAAATTCACTAATTAATAATCTTGAGGTTAATGATGAGCTTGGGGAAAGTGATCACAAATCACTTAGTTTAATGGAATTACCCAGATAACTGCAATCAAATCTCTGTCCCACATTTTCGCTTGGCCGACTTCATGGGAATGAAAAATTACCTGGGTGGGCTAAATTGGGATGTCCTGACTGTGGGTCAGGTAGGTGATCTTGGTTGCCAATATGACGTTTTTCAGAGCATAGTTCTAGCTGCCCAGACAACTTTTGTTCCAAGTAGGGAAATTAGATCTAACAAAAATGATACCATATTGATGAACAATAGATTAAAACATCTCATTAGTCAAAAGAGAGGCATATATAGACGTATCCAAAGAGGGGATGGGCAGTTAAGAAATCAATATATTCAATTAAAGACAGAAATAAAAAAAAAGGAATAAGAAAAGCAAAAAGGAATTATGAGGCTAATGTCGCAAGGGATTCAAAGACTAACCCAAAAGGCTTCTTTCAGGTATACAGAAGTAAGTTTAGGGACAAGATTGGCCCACTTAAGAGTAACTCTGGTCAGATCATTGACAGTGATAAGGATATGTGTGAAATTCTCAGAACCTACTTTCTCTCAGTTTTCACCCAGGAAATTACTAGCGATGTTCCTGAAATAATAGATTATGTAGAGCAGGATGATAATAAACTATGCACGATTGCGGTAACTAGTGACATGGTCCTCAGACAAATAGAGAAACTAAAACCTAACAAATCCCCAGGTCCTGATGAACTGTTTGCAAGGGTGTTAAAGGAATGTAAAGAGGAACTTAGCATACTTTTGGCTAATCTTTTTAACATATCACTACAAACTGGCATAGTGCCTGAAAAGTGGAAAATGGCAAATGTAATACCTATTTACAAGACAGGTGACAGGTCCTTGGCTTCGAACTATAGACCAATAAGCCTTACCTCCATAGTGGGAAAATTTATGGAATCAATAATTGCCGAAGCAATTCGTAGCCATCTTGATAGGCACAGATTGATTAATGAATCTCAACACGGTTTTACAAAAGGGCATTTCTGTCTTACGAATTTACTAACTTTTTTCACTAAGGCGTTTGAGGAGGTAGATCATGATAATGAATATGATATTGTGTATATGGACTTCAGTAAGGCTTTCGATAAAGTTCCACACCAGAGGCTATTGAGGAAACTTAAGGCACACGGAATAGGAGGAGAAATATTTTCCTGGGTAGAGGCATGGCTGACAAATAGACAGCAGAGAGTTTGCATAAATGGGGAGAAATCAGAATGGGGGCACGTCACAAGCGGTGTTCCTCAGGGGTCAGTGTTGGTCCCGTTGTTGTTCACAATTTACATAAACGACATAGATGAGGGAATAAATAGCGATATCAGAAAATTTGCTGATGATACCAAAACAGGTCGTCCAATTAATTCTAATGAGGACACTAGAGCACTCCAGGATGATTCGAATAGACTGATGCAATGGTCGGAGAAGTGACAGATGTAGTTTAATATTGACAAATGCAAAGTTCTAAATGTTGGACAGGTAAATAACCATGCCACATATAAACTAAATAATGTAGATCTTAATACTACTGATTGCGAAAAGGATTTAGGAGTTCTGGTTAGCAGTAATCTGAAAAAAAGACAACAGTGCGTTAGTATTCGTAGTAAAGCTAACAGAATTCTTGGCTTCATATCTAGAAGTATAAATAATAGAGTCCTCAGGTTGTTCTTCAACTCTATATATCCTTGGTTTGGCCTCATTTAGACTATGCTGCTCAGTTCTGGTCACCGTATTACAGAATGGATACAAATGCTCTGGAAAACGTACAGAGGAGGATGACAAAGATGATTCCATGTATCAGAAATCTTCCCTATGAGGATAGACTGAGGCCCTGAATCTGCACTCTCTCGAAAGGCGTAAAATTAGGGGGGATATGGTAAAGTGTATGGTAGAGTTATTATTGAAAGAATTAAGAGTAAGACGGAGAATAGGATAGCAGATGAACAAGGAGGCTTTAGGAAAGGTAGGGGGTGTGTGGACCAGGTGTTTACAGTGAAACATGTAAGTGAACAGTATTTAGATAAGGCTAAAGAGGTCTTTGTGGCATTTATGGATTTGGAAAAGGCGTATGACAGGGTGGATAGGGGGGCAATGTGGCAGATGTTGCAGGTGTATGGTGTAGGAGGTAGGTTACTGAAAGCAGTGAAGAGTTTTTACGAGGATAGTGAGGCTCAAGTTAGAGTATGTAGGAAAGAGGGAAATTATTTCCCAGTAAAAGTAGGCCTTAGACAAGGATGTGTGATGTCACCGTGGTTGTTTAATATATTTATAGATGGGGTTGAAAGAGAAGTAAATGCGAGGGTCTTGGCAACAGGCGTGGAGTTAAAAGATAAAGAATCACACATAAAGTGGGAGTTGTCACAGTTGCTCTTTGCTGATGACACTGTGCTCTTGGGAGATTCTGAAGAGAAGTTGCAGAGATTGGTGGATGAATTTGGTAGGGTGTGCAAAAGAAGAAAATTGAAAGTGAATACAGGGAAGAGTAAGGTTATGAGGATAACAAAAAGATTAGGTGATGAAAGATTGGATATCAGATTGGAGGGAGAGAGTATGGAGGAGGTGAATGTATTCAGATATTTGGGAGTGGACGTGTCAGCGGATGGGTCTGTGAAAGATGAGGTGAATCATAGAATTGATGAGGGGAAAAGGGTGAGTGGTGCACTTAGGAGTCTGTGGAGACAAAGAACTTTGTCCTTGGAGGCAAAGAGGGGAATGTATGAGAGTATAGTTTTACCAACGCTCTTATATGGGTGTGAAGCATGGGTGATGAATGTTGCAGCGAGGAGAAGGCTGGAGGCAGTGGAGATGTCATGTCTGAGGGCAATGTGTGGTGTGAATATAATGCAGAGAATTCGTAGTTTGGAAGTTAGGAGGAGGTGCGGGATTACCAAAACTGTTGTCCAGAGGGCTGAGGAAGGGTTGTTGAGGTGGTTCAGACATGTAGAGCGAATGGAGCGAAACAGAATGACTTCAAGAGTGTATCAGTCTGTAGTGGAAGGAGGGCGGGGTAGGGGTCGGCCTAGGAAAGGTTGGAGGGAGGGGGTAAAGGAGGTTTCGTGTGCGAGGGGCTTGGACTTCCAGCAGGCATGCGTGAGCGTGTTTGATAGGAGTGAATGGAGACAAATGATTTATAATACTTGACGGGATGTTGGAGTGTGAGCAAAGTAACATTTATGAAGGGATTCAGGGAAACCGGCAGGCCGGACTTGAGTCCTGGAGATGGCAAGTACAGTGCCTGCACTCTGAAGGAAGGGTGTTAATGTTGCAGTTTAAAAACTGTAGTGTAAAGCACCCTTCTGGCAAGACAGTGATGGAGTGAATGATGGTGAAAGTTTTTCTTTTTCGGGCCACCCTGCCTTGGTGGGAATCGGCCAGTGTGATGATAATAAAAAAAATGATCGAAGTGTATAAATGGAAAACAGGAATAAATAAAGGGGATGTCAATAGCGTGCTGAAAATTTCCAGCCAAGACAGGACTCGCAGCAATGGTTTCAAGTTGGAAAAATTCAGATTAAGGAAGGATATAGGAAAGCACTGGTTTGGTAATAGAGTTGTGGATGAGTGGAACAAACTCCCGGGTACAGTTATCTAACCTATTAAAAATAGGTTAGATAAATGCATGAGTTGGTGTGGGTGGGTGTGAGTTAGACCTGACTAGCTTATGCTGCTGGGTCTGGTGCCGTGCTCCTTCCTTGAGTGGAGGTGGCCAGACTGGGTGGGTCATTGGGCTAATCCAAGGGGGTGGGTCATTGGGCTAATCCGGGGGGGGGACATGGACCTGCTCCGCATGGGTCAGTAGGCCTGTTGCAGTGTCCCTTCTTTCTTATGTTCTTATATTTCCTTCTGTTCTCTTTCCTTACGTACATACCAGTCACAACAGTCAACTTACGCCTACGTACTTATTTACTGCTAGGGCAACAGGTGCAGTAGGTTTATGCAAAGTTGGGCAATAACCTCAACTCTATCCCGGACGCTTTCGATTGGCAACCGAAAGCACTGCTAATGAGCTACAAGTCACCTTATTGATTAAATTACACTCATTCCCGGAAGAGACCTCCGGGAATGTGAATTCTGAATAAAAAATCGAGTAGATTCTTGGATCACTTACCTAAGAGCATAAGGAGGATCACTCCTTTCATGGTGACACTGGAAGCAGTGATGATGTTCTGGTGGTCGGCCGATTTTGAGAGACGGAAAGCGGGTGTAGTGAGATGAACGGCCGGTGTGGTGAGAGGCCCGGCCGGTGCAGCGGAGTGAGGCTGGGTTCTCAGCCAGTTCTTATATAACCTTCTAGTGCCAAGGTCTAGGACGCTCGTACCAGAGATAGCTGGCACTAAGGTCAAGTGTGCCACCTCCAGTCCACAAAACGTTTATTTACTAATCATTCTAAACCGTAATTATTTTTTCCCCTTTACTATGTCATCGTTAGTTAAAACAAAGTACTCGCCAACTGAAATACTTGGAAATGGTTAAGAATCTTCTAAATTAATGTAAATGATTTATAAGAGAGGCATGAATAAGAACAGATGTCTCGTCACCGGCGAATGCTAAGTATTTTAAGACAGATAAAACATGATTTACTTAAGTTGCTGTGAGTTATATTTCCTGGACGGCATCTGAGTACAAAATACATGTGAATAAAAGTGCGTGTTGCAAGTACCTTCAGTTCTTCAAGACAAAGACACGCTGAAAATACGTTGATATCCGTGCATGAAGGGTCTGTAGTTCACCAGCTGCCAGATGAATGCTGTGCAATGTTAACTGCGGAAGCTGTGTAAGCTCCTTGTGTTTTAGTAGTGTTACACATGCTACTCACAGCTTCCCTTAATTAGGAAACTCAGTAAACTTTTACAGGAAGGTAAAGATACTAGGTTGGTTGGTCATTGAGGTTTACACTATCGCCTACACAAGGGTCATTAAGGTTGTACATAACCTGTTCACCACCAGTCAAGAATACTTTATTGCCTTAAAAAAATCAATTAAAATAACCTCTCATCGTATATACACCGAAAGGTGTATATACGATGAGTCTTGTCCTCAAACATTTCCAGATGTCAGAACGTGACACCTCTATAATCGACTGTCATTTTATAAAATATTATTCTAAAGAATTTGTAACGTGCTCAGTAATAACCCACATGGAGACAGAAAATCGGAAAATTAATTGATCTAGATTTCGACCCCCTGCTGGGGACGTTTTCTGCTGAAGAGAACCCCAGAAGGGGTCGAAATATACAGACCAATTAATCTTCTAGGTTTCTGTCCTCGTGTGGGTTACTGAGCACTGAGAAGTATTCTTTACACTTTGGTTATTTATTCAATTTATAACACGCTTACTTGACCGCTCCAGGAACATGCTAATGCCAGCGCGCCTCCAGAAGACATTCATAATTCTTACCAACTTTCTAACAGAATTCTTTTATCCTTTCTGATGTCCTGTGGGCATAATCATGCACTCTTTCTCTTTCTCCAGATAAACTCTAATTAGTTTAGCCTTGACTAAATTATCGTTAAAAGGGGAAAAAGATAAACATAAAAAAAAAATATTAGAGTTTATTATAAGAACAGAACTAAAATATTGTTTATAAATTCATGGGGAAGCGCAGAACCCAAAAGGTTTGAATAACGCCTGGGAATAAGAGGGGTAGTTGGTGCTCTGGTTTGATGCGAACAAGGGGAAGATAGCTTAACTTCCCTGGATCAAGAGCTTTTCACTAACAACAAGACAATGCCTATTCAAAGGATGAACTAGCAAATTAATTTGCTAATAGGAACATATAGATCCATCGCAACTGTGTCAAGCAGATTCACCACTCAGTGTATAAAAACTAAGATATACACTTCTCGGTGTATATACACTGAAATATACATACATTTTCGAGGTGCACATAGTACGTGATTAAAAAAATATATTTATGAAACAAGCAAACAACGCCAATGCATCAGTGTCATCCTGTAGAGGCGGGTGGTAACAGTGAGTGTTGTCGCCAGGCAGAACCAACGTACCATGAGCACTCAACTCCACTCTTGACAGTGGGATTGTATGTTTTTCCCTCAGCCACCCGCCTCACCCCATCCCTTCAACAGTGATCTCACTGTGTTTCAGTTCCTCGGAGTTGATGATATAGAAAAAAATACGTTTTCTTCTTCAAGAAAGGCGAAAATGTTCCTATAATAACTTGAGATCAAAACCACTGCAGTAGGCCTAGTGGCACACACTTGACAGGTCATACACATTAACCAAATCAGTTCCACTTATCTGCTTGTCGAGCCTATCTTTAAAGCTGCCCGAAGTACATGTTTTAATGACCTTAAGTGGCCGTTTGTTCCACGCCTCTGATTGTCTTACAACTCAGCTCCTGTTAAACTACAGGCTTTTCTATATCTTTTCTACATCTGATTTCTTCTAGTTTTGTTACATTGATAGTTTAACATTTTCAGCACCTAATTTATTTCTTGTTTAATTAACTATCTTTCATTTGTTTGCTTCGGTATATTTACTTCAGACACATCAGCCGTTTCATTTCCCACACAGCGAGCCATACACCAGTACTCTCAAAAAGGAAACAGACATTACGATTCAAGTATAATCCAGTAAATAACATCCCACCTCAACTTTTCAAGTTCAGGAGCCTTACTTCCAGCTTCCAAAACTCAAGTTCTCCTAATTGGTTCCATGAATCCCTTCACAGTTACAAAAATGCTCACACTCCAGCAACACCTTAAATTCCATAAAAAAAAAACAAACACTGGTTTTCTTTCCGATCTAGACGCTCACATCTGCTGGATGGCTGTTCAAATCCCTACACCTCAATACTTCTTTCACATCCTCCTAACGCTTCCTTAGTCCTCATCTAAAGTTCTAAACGCTCCTTCTACCTCAGATTTCTGACACGGGTTTATGAGTAGTATTCTTTGCACGAAATACATGGATATCAAATAAGTTGTCAACTCCCCAGCCTTGTCTTCGCTGCAATGTTTAAGATCTTGACAACAGTGTTCTTTTGTTAAGATTAATGAACTGAACACATCGACTTCTGATTACCGCAGACTTATCATCTTCCACCTTTCTCTGCCTTAGACTGAAGATACCCAGCTATTGCGCAAGTGTCTCATTTATCAATTTATCAGTTTTGTTTACCATTTATTCACACGAAGGGAAGGTATTGAAGCGTCGTTGTTCGTTAAAAACGAATTAAGGGATCTTGCACCTTCTGAGGGGATCCTGGACCGTCTGAGGGCATCCTGCACCGTCTGGAGGGATCCTGCACCGTCTGTCAAGCCTCTTGTTATAATAATTGGTAATTTCAGTGTGCAGGTTTGGGACTAATCCCTCTAGTGTATTCCAGGTGTAGGTTATGATGTATTTTTCTCGCCTGTGTTCAAAGGAGTACAGTATGCCTACCTTACAGCAGATGCTTTATCGTATGACGTCATGTTTCTCCCTAAGGCGCTCCCTTCAAGAGGTGTGCCTTCATGCTGGTTAAGAGCTCTTGATTCAAGGAATTGGAGCTACTCTCCTCTTTTTTAGATCAGAACTATCTCCCATTCCCCAGGTGTTATATGACCACTACGGATTTAGCGTTTCCCCATTAATATAATATTAATACATACTAATATTACTACTACTACTACTACTATCACTATTACTACTACTACTACTATTACTGCTACTACTACTATTACTACTATCACTACTGCTAATAATAATACTAATAATAAAAATAATGATTAGTGCACATGAAGCTCCTTCATTGTGGTGGTGACTCAGAGGCGTCGCTAAGGTTGGTGCCACCCGGTGCGGAATCTTTGGTGTCACCCGGGGTGACATCTTTGGTGTCACCCCCATGAAATCTAAGGGCGGGGGGATAAGGGTAGTAAACACCAGTTTCATCACTGCTGCATGACCGTGACTAATGTTTAGCAATGAGAACGTTTAAAGGCCATAAACCGAACTTTATTAATGATAGAATAAACAATCGTTGTAATATTGAGGAAAGATAAACTCAAATACCACTTTGAGTACAGACAACAGATCCTACATTTATTCATCTTCAACAATGAAAAAAAAAAAATCTTGAAAAATAAAGAAAAACACTAGTATCGATTTAACCTTGAGTACAGGTAACATATCAAAGAATCTGATATTACGCTTCCTTGACTTCAGTCTTGCAAAATCATCTATCACATCATCAAAATCGATGATTTTCCCTATATAGGCCTATTTGTACTCTGTAATCCTATAATAGGCTGTTTAGAAACGAAGGATTTTTCTCTTAGGTTGCTGCAGCATGGTTTTGGTCATTATTGTTACCTTCTTTAGAGGCTCTATGGTGTCACCCCCTAAATGGTGTCATCCGGGGCGCCCCGCCCATCCGCCCCACACCCGCCCCCCCGCCCCCGCCCCCCCCCTTTACGACGCCCTGGGTGGTGTACAACAGGAGGCAGAGGAGGGTGAACAGCAGTGCCTTTCACTGTACAACGATATTAGTGACTCTGGTACAACTAGTGCAACAGTCCAGTCGTATCATTCCTGGTGGTGGCGTTTGTACTGATAAAATGACTTTTATTTCACATTCACTGCTTCACGCCCAGGCTGACACGCCTCACTCTGCCAACACACCTTCACTACTCTCCCGCACCTTCACTAACCTATCCTCCTCGTCTTCACTACTCTCCCGCACCTTCACTAACCTATCTTCCTCGTCTTCACTACTCTCCCGCACCTTCACTAACCTATCCTCCTCGTCTTCACTACTCTCCCGCACCTTCACTAACCTATCTTCCTCGTCTTCACTACTCTCCCTCACTTCACTAACCTATCCTCCTCGTCTTCATACTCTCCCGCACCTTCACTAACCTATCCTCCTCGTCTTCACTACTCTCCCGCACCTTCACTAACCTATCTTCCTCGTCTTCACTACTCTCCCGCACCTTCACTAACCTATCTTCCTCGTCTTCACTACTCTCCCGCACCTTCACTAACCTATCCTCCTCGTCTTCACTACTCTCCCGCACCTTCACTAACCTATCCTCCTCGTCTTCATACTCTCCCGCACACTTCACTAACCTATCCTCCTCGTCTTCACTACTCTCCCTCACCTTCACTAACCTATCCTCCTCGTCTTCACTACTCTCCCTCACCTTCACTAACCTATCCTCCTCGTCTTCACTACTCTCCCTCACCTTCACTAACCTATCCTCCTCGTCTTCACTACTCTCCCGCACCTTCACTAACCTATCCTCCTCATCTTCACTACTCTCCCG